CTCGAAAAACCAAAAAAAAAAAAAAAAAAAAAAAAAAACTGAAACCAAAAAATACTGGGTCCTGTGACACTCACCTTTAATCCCGGCACAGGGAAGGCAGGAGGAGGTGTGAAGGGAGTCTAGCCCACTGGAGCATGTGGCTCTGGCAGGCCTTGCCCTTCTCCCACATTCTCTCTGCCTTATAGAAAACTGTTAGATTATATTCCATAAACTAGCCACCAGGTCTTTTACTTATTTAGCCACTTCCTGCTCCTGAGGCTAACTACCAAAGTCCAGCAATCCAGAGCCCCCTTTGGGCGCCTGGCAGTGGTGGCACACGTCTTTAATCCCAGCACTCGGGAGGCAAGAGGCAGGCAGATCTCTGTGAGTTTGAGGCCAGCCTGGTCTATAGAGCAAGATCCAGGAAAGGCGAAAAGTTACACATAGAAAACCTGTCTCAAAAAACAAAAAACAAGCCGGGCGGTGGTGGCGCACGCCTTTAATCCCAGCACTCGGGAGGCAGAGGCAGGCGGATCTCTGTGAGTTCGAGGCCAGCCTGGACTACCAAGTGAGTTCCAGGAAAGGCGCAAAGCTACACAGAGAAACCCTGTCTCGAAAAAACCAAAAAAAAAAAGAGCCCCTTTTGGTTCACATAATTAACATGCCCAATTAAATTAAACATCTCATTCTATCTCGGGTTTTCCCAATCTACCTTTATAAACTGCCATTTTCCTATGGGCCACCTCTGTCTCCCCTCTATACAGAGGCAGTCCTTTGTCTCTCTAGGATAATATCCCTTCCCCCTTTTCCTTGTCCTCTCCCACTTCTCTGATGTCCCTTTTATGGTGATTGTGTGTGTGTGTGTGTGTGTGTGTGTGTGTGTGTGTGTGTGTGTGTTTGTGTGTGTGTGTGTGTCCTAATAAATAAAGCTGGCCTGGAGATCAGGGTGTGGAGCCAGCCACGAGGGGCCAGGCTGTGGTGGCACACACCTTTAATCCCAGTATTTGGGATCTCATGCCTCTGATCCCAGTATTTGGGAGGCACAGGCCTTTGATCCCAGCACTAGGGAGGTGGACTATAAGGCAGGAGGAGACAGGAGCTTGGCCCCCCTTTCAGGCTGAGGAGTTGATGAGATGAGATGTGACTTTGTCTTGCTCCTTTGTCTCACTGATCTTTCAGCATTTACCCCGATATCTGACTCTGGGATTTTATTTTATTTTTTTTTTTTTATTTTTTTTTTTTTTTTGGTTTTTCGAGACAGGGTTTCTCTGTGTAGCTTTGTGCCTTTCCTGGGACTCACTTGGTAGCCCAGGCTGGCCTCGAACTCACAGAGATCCGCCTGGCTCTGCCTCCCGAGTGCTGGGATTAAAGGCGTGCGCCACCACCGCCCGGCTTCTGGGATTTTATTATTGAGATCAATAGAACTGACACAACAATTCCCCTTCTTCCTCATACCCTGTCTCCTTTACCACAACATCGTAGCCCATTCTAACAGAGAACTCCCCTTTTCCTCCTCTCCAAAATTACACCTGCAAGGCCGTTTGCTACTGTTTTCTGCCTGAGTCAGAAAGCAGACACTTTAACTTTTCTTCCCCACTTAATAAATGATCTCTCTGTGAAAACAGGTGTTTGAGTGTGGTTTGAACCTATTCCAGAATCGGGGAAGAAGCCCCCACTATTCAGGCATCTTCTTCAAGGCAGATCTCTATGATCCCAGTCAGCCTGGTTTAAAAAAAACAAGTTGCAGGGCAAGGAAGGATACACACAGAAACCCTGTCTCAAAATTTAAAAAAAAAAAAAAATAAACACAAACAAATAAACAGAAGCAAAAGCCCCTCAGAGTGAGGATGGCAGCTGGCAACTCTCATTCTCTGTCTGAGCCCAGAGAGGTGTGAGACAGGATGATCACACCTTCCAGGACAGCCTGAGATACACAGGATGTCCCCATCGGGAACAAAGACAAGGAAGGAGGAGGAGGCAAAGGGAGAGGTTGGGTTCCTCCAAACACTGGGACTGTCACCTGCTCAGCAGCAGGATGGCTCACAGTGTCTGTTAAACAGGCTCATCTTGTTGTACCCAGAGTCCCCAAAGACCATCAAGAGATGAAAAACAATGCCAAAGCAAAGAGTCTTTTTTTTTTTTTTTTTTTTTTTTTTTTTTTTTTTTTTTTTCCGAGACAGGGTTTCTCTGTGTAGCTTTGCGCCTTTCCTGGAACTCACTTGGTAGCCTAGGCTGGCCTCGAACTCACAGAGATCCGCCTGGCTCTGCCTCCTGAGTGCTGGGATTAAAGGCGTGCGCCACCACCGCACAGCGCAAAGAGTCTTTTTATTGTTGGGAGTTAACTCGAGCCTCTCTGTCTGTCTGACACAGCAGCATAGCAAGAGAGACCCTGAATAGCAATGGGGCAGAGTTTTTATACAGGATAAAGCAAAAGAGGGTTTGGGGGTCTACAGACTACATAGGAACAGACTCACCATCGGTTATGTGAGTGGCAATCATGTTAGTAACTATTAATTGTTTAGGTTCAGCTCGGGTTATACTTATCCATATAAGGGCAGGACTGGACAAGTCCTTGGCTTTGTCCTTGAGCTATTGTTGAGGCTGCCTGGCCTAGCGTGTACTGAATGTGGGGGCCTGCTCAGTGGCCCAGGCTTGGTGCATCCTATCTCCCTGTCCCTGCTGACAAGAGCATTGGTGATTCATTGTTTTTTGTTCAGTACCCTCTCAGAAACTGCTTGCTCAGTCTCAGGAAAGTAAAATTGAGGCTTGATCTTTGAGAGAAGACTTAGCAGCCTGTTGTGGCATCTGTTTGGTCCTCTCAATCTCAAAGGACCCTGGGAGCCAAGAGCTGGAGCTCCTTCACTGCATCAGCTGAAAACTTCTGCACAGACAGTAGGTCTATCTACATCCATGGAGGACCCCAAGTCTGCCCTTCCCCAACTTCTCAGTCCCTTCTCTGCACAGCCCAGTGCTCACTCTTCCCTCACTCAGTCTCTAGCCCAGGGCCTAAACCCCATTCCCACCCTTTCTTGGGATCAGAATTCTACAAATCCAGGAGGAAGAGGCAAGTGGATATTTGAGCGTGATAATCTAGTCTGGTCGACACAACAAAGCTCGAGGCTACCTTGGCCACAATTTGAGACCCTGTCTCAACTTGTGAAACACACATACACACACACACACACACACACACACACACACACACACACACACACACACACTGAAAATCAAAGGAGAAGACAAGCTGAGCACCAGCATCCATCTCCCTCTGCTCCCTGACTGCAGGTGGAGTGTGACAAGCCGCCTCACACTCCTGTTCCCATCCTTTCTCTGTTGTATCCCCAATTGTGAGTCAAAATGGACCCTTTCTTCCCTCCTGAAGTCGCCTCTGGATGACATATTGTGCCAGCAATGGGAAAAGAAACAAAGATCCCCAAATTCACAGGAGTCACCAAACCAATGTGGAACACCCAGCACTGCCGTTCCACACACAGCCATCCCCTGCTCCAGAACACACACAGTGGGAGCCTCTGAGGTAGGCCACAGCTGTGCTGGGCAGCCCTGACCACACATGAGGCAGCACTTGTGCAGAAAAACATGATTTAGACAGAAAGAGTGGTTTTTTTTTGGTTGTTTTTTTTTTGTTTTTTTTTTTTTTTGGTTTTTCGAGACAGGGTTTCTCTGTGTAGCTTTGCGCCTTTCCTGGAACTCACTTGGTAGTCCAGGCTGGCCTCGAACTCACAGAGATCCGCCTGGCTCTGCCTCCCGAGTGCTGGGATTAAAGGCGTGCGCCACCACCGCCCAGCTGACAGAAAGAGTATAAGGAGGAGGAGGGGCGAGAAACTGGACCAAAGACCGTGGGGACAAATGCAATTCCAGGTCAGTGTCCATCTGAGGAGACAAGTGTAATTCCAGGTCAGTGTCCATCAAAGGGGACAAGTGTAATTCCAGGTCAGTGTCCATCAGAGGGGACAAGTGTAATTCCAGGTCAGTGTCCATCTGAGGGCATGGCAGATGGAGCAGTTGTCACAGCATGAGGACCTGAGTTCAGATGCAGCACCCCTGTGAAACACTGGTGTGGGGCACACACCTGTCATCCATGCTCTGGAGACAAACACATAGCAGGAACATGCAGTTATTTGGCCCACCAAGCCGGCCTCATAGGTGGGTGCTAAGGAGACCCTATCTCAGGAAACAGGTGGAAATCTGATTGACAGGGATAAATAACACGGTCTTTGGTCACACAAACACACACACACACACACACACACACACACACACACACACACACACACACACACTGCATCTCAATGAACTCAACCAGGCTATACTTCTCCATGAGCTGACTGACTTCCATGTTACCATAGTACCACAGTGACCTCCAGCCAGGGGAAGGTGGTTACCAGTACCCAGGCTTATCTTCTGCAAGCAGGTGGCAGATGTGCCAGAGCCACAGACTATCAGTAAGTTCAGAGGGGAGCTCTGGGACAAGAAGACCTTAGGGAGGATATCAGAAAGGGCCAGGCTGGTGGCAGGATGGGGCAGTCCCTGCTTGCCCCTCCCCCAACAGCCAGCAGCTCTGGCACTAACACCCCAGTGTTAACCTCCAGCCTGAGTCCAGTCACCCCAATACAGATGCTCATTATAGACACTGAAATGACTCCATCCCAGTCCAGCTTAGAGGACCAGTGACTTTATTGGGGTCCCATGTTCATGGGTGACTCATCAGCTGCATCCACAGGAAATGCACCACAACAGTGTGCTGACTCATGACAGCTGCATCCAGGAGGTCCCCTGGGCCAGTTTGCAGCCAGGTCCATGGAGGAGTTTTCTCTCCCCTTGTATCCCCAGCAGTAGTTCCCTGAGGCTGAGGAGGGCACTCGAGGCTTGGAGCTTCCTGGTTCTCCTTCTTCCATCAGGCCAAAGGTGTTTCAGTCAGAGGAAAAAGCTACAGAATAGGTCACAAGGTGGTCTGGGCTGTCTACAGATGAACAAATCCAAAACAAGGAGATTGGCCCACCTTATGCATTGTTGTTGTTATTTGGGGGAGGGCAGCACAGGTGGGCACCTCCCAGAAGGGCCCCTCCCAGGAGAAGCAGCAGGGAGCTGAGCCAGCCCAGGTAGAGTGAGGCTCCCATCTCTGGTTTCCATGGGGACAGTATTTGAGGGTTGGCTATGCCAAGCAGGACATTGTGTGTGACCCAGGACACAGACACCAGCAGCAGCAGACCAACCCCCAGGAACAACACACTAGCCGCCATCATGATCTTTTCTTCGTTGTGGATATTTGCCACACATCCGATGCGTTCATCCCCAATCATGTACAGCAGCAAACCCAGCCAGGTGATGATGATGCAGATGACCACCAGAACGCCCGACACCTGCAGGTCCTGTGGCAGTACCGGGCGAGTGTTGTATGGCATGCACCTCAGGCTCTTGATTCCCTCAGCCTCACACATGTTCCACAGGCCCTCCAAAATGCTGGTCTCTTCAGAAACCTTCATCACTCGCCACAAGGGCAGGCCACAGCTGATAATGGTGACTAGCCAGCCCAGCATGGCCAGAGAGAAGCTGGCTGCTTCCAGTTCCGGGCGACCCATGGCTCATCTCTGCTGAATGCAAGACACAGAAGACAGAGGGGATCTGACTTTCAGCTGCAGGATTCCAAGAGCTGAGATTGGATTTTCACCATGTCCATAGTGAGCTGTCCTGAGAACCAGCAACAGAAATGAGGGTCACTATAGAGTCAGACATGTCACCAACAGGAGGGACCTCAGCAGTTGACACAGCATCCTGGTGAAATAGGTTAAGCTGATGTGGGATTTGGCAGAAGGTGGGCAGAGGGGAGAGTTTCAGGGCACAGGCCTCATGGGATCAGATCTCTGAACTCTTTTAATGTGTGTGTGCATATTAATGAGTGTATGTGCATATTCATGTGTGTGGGTATATGTTTCTGTGTGTCTTCATGGACAGGTAGGCACAAAAGTGTGGACACAGAGGACAACCTCTGTTGTCATCTTCAGGAACTCTATCCACCACCTTTGCGATGAGGTCCCTCAATGGCCTCCAGTTCACCAATTAGGCTAGGATAGCTGGCCAGGGTCCTGGGAAGTCAGGTGACAACTCTCCTAATTCCCTAAGCCATCCTAGGGTACTGAATTCTGGGGATCTGAGGACACAATACAGAAAAGGACATTGGCCACATTCACACTAAACAGAGACCTCCTGTGGTCCCATGCACTGCTATATCTGATATGATGTTCCATCTTGTCAACTTACCAGGGTGAAGAATCACCATGGAAACAAATCTCTGGGAATATCTGAGAGAATTCCTAGGCTGGGTAACTGAGGTGAGAATCCTCACCCCGTGGGCAGCACCATTCTATGGTTTGGGGTCCAGAAGAATGGAAAGTAGAAAGTGACTGAGCCCCAGCATCACCTCTCTCTGCTTCCTGACCGTGGATGTGATGTGACCGCCTGCCTCATGCTCCTGCCCCATGACATCCTCGCCATGATGGACTGCATCCTGTCCTCCAAATAAGCCCTTTCTATGCCCAGGTTTTTTTGTGTCAGTGTTTTATGATAGCCAGAGAAGGCAAACTGTCTGGATGGTGTTGCAAACACCTTTAATTCCAGCACTTGGGAGGCAGAGGCTTTTTTATCTCTGTGAGGTCCAGGCCAGCTTGTATACAGATTGAGTTAAGGGCAGTTAGGACAGAGTAACACTGTCAGAGAGGGTGGGGGAAGAAGGAGAGAGAGGGAGGTAAAGAGGGAGGGAGGAAGAGAGAAAGAGCGAGCACTCAAGCACACTAGTACATGATCTGAACTGAGCTCAAGGATAAACAGAGACAACATGTAGAAACAGGCCCACCATATGCTCTCCTGCTGGGTGGAGGAAGCCAGGGCTGATCCTGGGACTGAACAATTCCTTCTCAGCTGGGGTCTTCCACAAGTACAGAGCTCCTCCAAGCATCAGCAGCGTGGAGCTGGTTCAGGCTGGGTAAAGTAAGACACCCTACTTTGCTTTCTGCATGGAGCCCAAGAGAGCATTGGAGCAGCCATAGCTGAAGTTGTGTGTTCTCCAGGACATGGACACCATTGGCTGCAGGCCAGCACCAGGATCAAGACATCCACCCTCCTCATAATCATGACATCACCTCTGTCATTAGACAGCCATGATGACACTCAACCTCAAATATACACAGCAGCAAAGCCATTCCATTATACAGATGACCATGAGGACCTGAGACACCTGTGGCCCTGAGCTGACGTGACCCAGTAGCCATGGTCCTTACACTGCATGCTGCAGAGTCTGTGAACCTGGTACATTTGCCGTAGACCCCGCCTAACATAGGATTCTAGTCCTGTCTCACATTCAGGAGATATTGTCACCCTTCACATGGGTAGCACACACCTCCAAAGGGCCACCAGCCAGCTCAGTCTGGCCACAGAGGTGCTCACCTGCTGCAGGACAATGAGAACCATGGCCCAGAGTCTCTGTAGTTAGGTAAGGGAGTTAGTGAGGATCTTGGCTGGGCTGCAAGATCCCAAGGACTGATGATGGACATAGCAAGTGTCCAGAGAAAGCCTTTCCATGGACACAGACAGACACAAAAGCAGACAGAGACTCAGTCCACACCAACAACAATTACCTCTGTAGAAGCAGATGTCCGCGGCAGCAGTGTGAGGACAGCAGTTGACAGAGGAATCTGGTGATAGAGATTGAGGGTGTCTGAGGCTATGACAGGGGGTGGGGCACAGGGTGGAGCTTCAGATCATGTGGCCTCAGAACCAGCCTGTACTGCCTTATGTAAAAAGTGTGTGTGTGTGTGTGTGTGTGTGTGTGTGTGTGTGTGTGTGTGTGTGTGTGTGTGTGTATGTGTGTGTACTGTCCTGTGGGTACATGCCTAGATGTGATGTGCATGAGGATACCAGAGGTCTACCTCTGGCATCATCCTCTGGATGGCATCTATCTCCTTAAAGACAAGTTTCTCATTGGACAAGGGCTCATCAACTGTGTAGACCTCCTGGCCAGGAAGCCCTGTGGCTCCCCCTGTCTTTTCCTCCTTGGCACTAGATTTACCATCACATGCCAGAATATGCTGCATGTTTACCAGAGTTTTCAGATGGACCTCAGGACCTCCAAGCTGTACCACCAGCCCTGAATCTCTGTATTCTGAGCCCAGAATAGTGCCCTGAAGACCTGAATCTGGAGCAAAAGAGTCCATATCATTGAAAGAATGTCCCTCCTGTGCCAATGCGTTCAAGAGTACTTTCTACTTATTCTTCTATTAAATTTAGTGTAACTGGATTTATGTTGAGGTCTTTGATCCACTTAGACTTGAATTTTGTGCATGGTGACAGATATGGATCTATTTGTAATCTTTTACATATTGACATCCAGTTATGCCAGCACCATTTGTTGAAGATACTTTCTTTTTTCCATTGAATAGTTTGGGTTCTTTGTCAAAAATCAGATGTTCATATGTGTGTGGATTAATGTCAGGGTCTTCAATTCGATTCCATTGGTCTGTGTGTCGGTTTTTATACCAGTACCAAGCTATTTTTATTACTATAGCTCTATAGTAGAGCTTGAGGTCAGGGATGGTGATGCCTCAAGAAGTTGCTTTATTATACAGGATTCTTTTAGCTATCCTGGGTCTTTTGTTTTTCCATATGAAGTTGAGTATTTTTCTTTCCAAGTCTCTGAAGAATTGTGTTGGGATTTTGATAGGGATTGCATTGAATCTGTAGATTGCTTTTGGTAAGATTGACATTGTTACTATGTTAATCTTACCTATCCATGAGCATGGAAGATCCTTCCATTTTCTGATATCTTCTTCAGTTTCTTTCTTTAGAGATTTAAAGTTCTTATCAAAAAGGTCCTTCACTTGTTTAGTTAGTGTTATCCCAAGGTATTTTATATTATCTGTGGCTATTGTAAAGGGTGATGCTTCTCTGACTTCTTTCTCAGCCCTTTTATCATTTGTGTATAGGAGGGCTACTGATTTTTTTGAGTTGCTCTTGTATCCTGCCACTTTACTGAAGGAGTTTATCAGCTGTAGGAGTTCCCTGGTAGAATTTTTGGGGTCACTTATGTATACTATCATATCATCTGCAAATAGTGAAAGTTTGACTTCTTCCTTTCCAATTTGTATCCCTTTGATCTCCTTTTGTTGTCTTATTGCTCTAGCTAGAACTTCAAGTACTATATGGAATAAATATGGGGAGAGTGGACAGCCTTGTCTTGTTCCTGATTTTAGTGGAATCACTTTGAGTTTCTCTCCATTTAATTTGATGGTGGCCGTTGGCTTGCTGTAAATTGCCTTTATTATGTTTAGGAATGTTCCTTGTATTCCTGATCTCTCTAAGAACTTTATCATGAAGGGGTGTTGGATTTTGTCAAAGGCTTTTTCAGCATCTAATAAGATGATGATGTGGTGTTTTTCTTTCAGTTTGTTTATATGGTGTATTACATTGACAGATTTTCATATGCTGAACCATCCTTGCATCCCTGGGATGAAACCTACTTGGTCATGGTGGATAATTTCTTTGATGTGTTCTTGGATTTGGTTTGCCAATATTTTGTTTGAGTATTTTTGCATCAATGTTCATGAGGGAGAAAAGACAGCCTACAGAATGGAAAAGACCATCACCAACCCCACATCTGACAGAGGACTGATCTCCAAAGTATATAAAGAACTCAAGAAACTAGACATCAAAATACTGAACAATCCAATTAAAAAACGGCTACAGAGCTATACAGACAATTCTCAAAAAAAGAATCACAAATGGCTGAAAGATTTTTAAAGAAATGCTCAACATCCTTAATCATCAGAGAAATGCAAATCAAAACGACTCTGAGATACCACCTTACACCTGTCAGAATGGCTATGATCAAAAACACTAATGACAATCTATGTTGGAGAGGATGCAGAGCAAAGGGAACACTCCCCCACTGTTGGTGGGAATGCAAACTTGTACAACCACTGTGGAAATCAGTATGGTGGTTTCTCAGAAAATTGGGTATCAATCTACCTCAAGACCCAGCCATACCACTGTTGGGCATATACCCAAGAAATGCTCAATCATACCACAAAGATACATGCTCAACTGTGTTCATAGCAACACTATTTGTAATAGCCAGAACCAGGAAACAACTTAGATGCCCATCAACTGAAGAATGAATTAAGAAACTGTGGTACATATACACAATGGAGCGCTACTCAGCAGAGAAAAACAATGACAGAATGAAATTTGCAGGCAAATGGATGGAACTAGAAAATATCATCCTGAGTGAGGTAACCCAAACCCAGAAGGACAAACATGGTATGTACTCACTCAGAAGTGGATACTAGATATAAAGCAAAGAACAATCAGACTGCAACCCACAGAACCAGGGAGGCTATATAGCAGGGGAGACCCTAGGATGACTGTGGCTTATAATAAGTTTTTGTTCTACTCAATTACTGAGCAAGTCTCAATTAAACATTTCACTATTAGGATAAGAATTTATACTGTATCAAGCTGATAATAGAAAATTTAATTAATTAATTTTTTAAAAAAGAATGTCCTTCCTTCCCTCTACATGGGTGCACAC